TTGGTCTCAATGGCTCAAATTTATTCATCATTTGTCGTTTTCTGGAGCTTATTCTCATACAACTTTGTCTACTTTGATATCAGCCTCTTTTTCTATCCACTTACTTTTTGTATGATACTTTGAAGCATCGCAGATTGAATTAATGCAATAGCGTGCGAGCTTTTGCGTTGATTTTGTATCTGTCCTGATTTTACTTCATCTGTAGCCCCCTTGTTGAATGCTTATGTGGAGTTCCGAGTTCATTCGGGAACTTACTAATGGATATAATTGCACGTTCTCCTTTGGAGCCCATGCATCTCATATAGTGGAGAGTTGTTAAAAAGGACTTGCTGTATATTTTCACATTCTTGTTTAATAGGAAGCTTTGGCTATGAAGTCGCTTCTTCGTGCCAGGCCTTGCGGTCTATGATCTATGAAATTATGTATCTGCAATGAAACGACTATAATTTCATGGCGAAAATTCGGGTTAGTAATTATTAGGCTTACTTGTTCAGAGAGTACCAAGTTGCATGATGCAGCTGCTACCCATATCTCTTTTGTCAAGTTTATTCGACCGCAATTAATCTATCAACCGTAGCATAGCCTCACAGAGGCCCTCCATCCACACTGGAATTTCGAGACATCATTTATAACAACAATCGCTTCCACGTATCACAATCTCCTGCCTGTGCATTTATGACTCTGTGTGTGTGTGTGTGCGTGTGTGTGTGTGTGTGGTTAAAGGCTTGATTTGATAATGTAACAAGGTGAGTATTAATCCATACATGAACTTGCCAAAATGATTCCATACCGTTAAACCCGTAAATTCATAATTTGTTACTGACTGAAATCAACGATTACCGACTGCTTATAAGTAGTACATCAATGTATGTGAAAATTTAAAGCCAATCATTTCAGTCACGTGTTATTTACAAACTTGTTACTTAATGCTCACTTTTAAGTATTTCTTTGTGATATCAAGTCTCGATAGGATTTCATAATCAGTTAAGGATTCAGAGAAGTTCATTGAAAGTGCACACATGACTAAGTCTGAAACCTGACTGACTTTCTCGGACTTGTTGCTCCCGAGTTCTACTTAGACGTATAATGATTATAAAACCTAGAATACTAAACCTTATGTTCGTCAGTCTAATTCCCAAGTAATTATCACAAGAAGATTTCTCACCTTTCTTGAAGACGGGGACAATAAGTGATTGACACCAGTCAGTGGGGATCATATCTGACTCCCACTCATTAGCCTACATTTGAGTTAACCTGACCAGTGGCCCGCAACCACCGTTCAGTACTAGTCCATCTGGTTCTGCTCCCCTTCTTCATTTCAGATTATTTAAAGCCTTCTAAACTTCTGCAAGTGTCGAAAGCCCTATTTCTATGTTCCATTCACAATCTGAATGGATAGCGGTCTAGATAACTGTATACTGTTACCTGTCACCGCTTCTTTTTCTATCCCATTAGCCTTCACTGGCCACTACTGTTCGTGGTCTACGTTTAAGTTGCATTCGCTCTGCACTGTACTCGAAGCCTGCATGGTGTGTTTGCGTGCATTCGTTAATTAAGAAGAAGCTGTTAATATCCGCTGACTTCTTTTAACCACTCCTAGAGTTGACTACGGTTTTCACCACTGTTTTTACGCCATACTTCTTCTGGATGAGTAATGTTCAGTGCCAATAACTTTGGCCAGTTTCTCACTGTAAAGTGGCCTTAGTGCTCTCATTAGCAAATTGCACTCACTATGGTTTTCTAAGTCTATTTAGACACACATGCATGCGCTCGGACCAATGCGTGGTCGCTGTCCAAGCACGTGTTCCAGAAGTAGCAGCAACCTACCAACGACCCTCTCTAGCGATAACTAGTTCTAATGGGGTTTGTCTGTATCAACCGCTCAGTTAAGCTTGGTGGACATCACATCAGACAATATCTCTGTTTATGTCTGAAGTTCGTGCTAACCAGAAAAGGATGTTTGTCTGAACACATTCGTAGTAGGCGATCTCCGTTATCTGTTCGTTCAGCTAGGATTCCGAAAGTGTCATCCAACTGCTTCTTTTCCTGACTTAGTCTACCTACTTGCGCGTTGAAATCGCGTGCAATAACGACCACGTTTGAGCGTTCAGCTTTCAATAAGAGGCTAGACGGTTTTCGGCAGAACTCATCCGTCACTCTCTCTGGGCTGCAGTCAATGGGTGGGTGAGGAGAGATTACAAAGGGACAACGACGAGTTTTAGTATTCTTTTTAGTCCTCACCATGCCGTTCATTCTGACAGTGCACAGGCGACTGTCAACTGGGATCCAGTCAAGCAGTTCACTTTCTACCTCACTGCTCAGTTCTATGCCTACACTTGTAAAATCGTGAGAACTGATCATAGGATCTCCAGGAACTGAGAGAGTAAATTTTGCAGGTTCACCATATTCACTGGGTGAGGTTAAGCGAATAAGCGCAATAGGGTTCCACACTGGTGTTTCACAAACAGCACACATCCATGATCCAATAATCCAGAGTTTTGGCCAGGGAAACTTATCCAATTTCAACGAGGGTGCGAACATTTTAGTCTCAATAGCGTCAAATGTTCTTACAATGTGAACTATTCAAGTCTCAACAATGATCAGGATTGGTCGTCACCTTCACACTTTTAACGGACCCGTTAAGCTAGGGGCTCACAGTCAACCATCCACAGCTTTTAACACGTTCTACTTTGCGTTGCCCGTACACGATCCCCTAACTAGTTAGTTCATGCATGTTGTTATACTGGCAGGATTCATCAAATATCCATTTCTCCTTTTCTTGGTCTTAAACTCATGAGTTTTATACAGGTATGAAGAATTACTGGTTGATCACTGTCCTTTTCAACAGCGCTTGAGGACAATTACTAAAGAGCTACAATATATAGTTTGGAGAGTGGTTTTAGATGATTACTGCTGCTGTTTCGTATATTGGAGTCGGTATCGAGAGCTGCTGAGTTAGAAGTGATTAGAGATAATGTAAGGAATATATATCGAGATGAGGGAAAATAATAAACGGCAAAGATATGAATGGATGGTAATGATCCGAGTGAACTTGAATCCTGACAGGGATATGAAAGTGATTGACACTCCGTGGCCACCTAAGGTGTAGAAATAAAAACTTCTTAAGGTAGGCATCTCAGTCAACATCTACCTGAGGCAGGTCACTTATTGCTTTTTTATATATTTGAGATTTAACCTTGATTGCCTAAAATCTGGCTAGAAAATGAAGCCACTAGTACTGCAATACTGCAGAATAGAGAAAAGTGTGTTGTTTTCATACTCCCCTTTCCTTAAGGAATAAGGTACCAACATGAGTTCCTGGTCATCCGCAAGATATACATTACTGCTATCAAACCGCTCCAGGGAACGTCGTTACACTATCTTAACAAACATAGCAACCAACCAGTAATTCTTCATACCTGTATAATACTCATGAGCGTAAGACCAAGAAAAGGAGAAATGGATATTTGATGAATCCTGCCAGTATAACGACATGCATGAACTAACTAGTTAGGGGATCGTGTACGGGCAACGCAAAGTAGAACGTGTTAAAAGCTGTGGATGGTTGACTGTGAGCCCCTAGCTTAACGGGTCCATTAAAAGTGTGAAGGTGACGACAAATGCTGAAAATTGTCGAACTTTAGGTTATTGACTTACTTACTGCTGCACCTTCGACCTAGTTGGCAATTGACCTGGCCATCGGACCCCTATCATAGCATAGCAGGTTTTGCACTACAACAGTAATTGATCTTTGTCTTGGCACTATACAACATTTTTCTGGCATAGTAAGACCCCAGGGGAACAAGTGTTTTCACCAGCATATATCCTTGAGTCATTTTGATTTGCAACCAGAACCTTGATGTCAGGTTCGCAGCTTTCAGTCGTGGGTAAATAACATACGATATGTGTATAAAATCGGTCAACTGTATGTATCTTATGGTTCATAAAAATTGGTATTTTTTGACAATAAAACAGGAAATTTGAAGAATCTATGTGTATTCTTAAATCATGCCCAAAGCTTAAACTAGGTTTACAAAGTGGCTCTAAATCAGCCCTATGCCTCTTACATGACCCAACGCTAACCTAATATCCGTGTAATAGTTCAGTCTTTGCCTTAGCCTGAAAATTCGGCTCTCAATCGACCCTAGGCTCACCGCGTTGGCCGTGGATAGTTGTTAAGTGGGTTTATTTGCTGACAATAGAAAAGTTTGGAGCGTCATCTGGATTTAATACATAAGAATGAGCTTCAAGCAGACTTGGATGAACCAAGCGGTTGGAGTCTCAACAATGATCTTGAGATCGATATGTCTTATTTGTTTTCTCACTCAGCTCTGAAAGAGAGAGGGAGAGACTATGCTAATTGACAGTCCAATCGGTTCACTGTCCTTATTACGCAGAACAGATTGGTGTTTTCATCAGATTTTCAATAGCCTCATACGGTTGTCCTTTCAGTTTGAAGGACGTAAGCGAGGTAGTAAAAAAAAGGAGTGGGGACTATGGAGTTGTAAACTTTACTGTATTACTCATGCTCAGTCACTGTTCTTAGGAATTTTGGAGAGTGTTAGATATGGATGATTGCAGATATTTGATAACATTTTTCAAAATCATTTTAATTGGTTTAAATGAATCCAGCACTAAAACCGAGGATGGTATCGTAGTACATACTGATTTACTTACATAAAAAGTCACTGATGATATGCATTTACTTAATTCCCGTAGAATTTTCATTTTTTAGTTCAGAGTTTAATGAATTTTAACTTCACTACTTGAGATTTCAAATGTAGTGCGAGTGATTGCTTGGTAAATTTCTTTAATGACTGTCCCGGTAATAAACACACTATTTATATCACTAACGCAAATGTATGATGAATTTTCTATCATTATTCCTAACTTTCCTTGTATTGAAAGAGTATTCCTCGGTTCATATTTAAAATCATTGAACTCTTGAAATATAATTTCACGCTAATTTTCTCAATAGTTCCATCTGTTTTTCATTTTAGTCCGCCTAATACTTGGTAATAATCCATAACAGTCAAGGTTTGGAAGTCATTTTGTTTAAATTGATGGCAATCATTGAAACTGTATCTAAGTGCTTTGCAGCTTTGTCATATTTACTAATTGCGGTAAGTTTCCTGTGAATATATTCTATCCATTTACTTTCTAGGTCGCTTCTATAATATTTATTTCTGTCGGTGGAAGTATACTTGTATTCTGTTTGCAGCATAAACATGCACTGACTGAAACGAATATCTCGTTTCCTGGTTATATCATACTTGGTACGGGTATTTTACTTCTGTTCACTGGTGCTATTGGTTTATTTGCTTGTATAAAACACAATCGCTGCTTACTTGTACTTTTTTACACAATGATGCTCATAATTTTACTTTGCGAACTAGCTCTTCTTATAGTCTCTATGTATTATTGGCCTAAAGTAATAATGTTCTTCAGTTTTAATATTGTTTTAAGGTTAGCGAACAAATAGCCCACATGCTTCACGAAGAGTTGAATATGTATGATAAAGTTGATGAGATTCAAAATGCTGTAGATATCCTTCAGTCAAAGGTAAGATGAAATTGTTGAGATTCACTTAGGTTTTAGTTTCACTGTTGTGGAGTGAACAAATGTTCTGATTGGGAATCTACTAGTTTCTATAGAACTAACCTTACCTTTCCAAAAAGCTGTTGTGCTGATTATAACTCAACATATTTGTATCCGGATCAGAAATGCGACCCTTACCAAATTGGCTGTCTTGATTCTTTAAGAAGTGAAGTTCACAGATATTTGGGTTATGTTATTGGATCCGCATGTACCTTTTTCCTACTGCAGGTTAGTTTGCTTTTTAACTTTTTTTGAGTTTTATCTAAGCTAACTGTCACTGATAGTTTTAATTCACTAATAATTGATAAAAATGTATGATTTCGACCGTTACAAGGGCAGACTTAGGTCTAGTTTTGGATACCGTTTTTATTGGTGAAACTTGTTGGAACAGCTAATGATTGTGAATACTTACGTCTTTAAAATGTGAATATTGTTATCTGTTTGGTAAAAAAGAAAGCACAATCCACTGCCTTCTCTGTTTTGTTAGAATAACATTCAAGTTTTCCTCAGTTTATTTTGTATGTCAGTTGAAAGTGCGCACAGATCTTCAGAAACATTGACGGATACAAATTAAACGGAAAGAACAAATAATCTACGAGTTCAGTTTACTATGCACCGGTAGGATATTCGGTTGCCTATTAAGGGCTTCAGAGCACTACGCAAAAGTTTGTTCTTTCCTACTGCATAATCCTGAAAGATGGCTATTAGAGGTATGGAACATGAAAAGACTTGTTGTTCGCCTTCGTAACAGACTGTATACACTATAACCGCCACATCAGCAAAGTGGTACTCAAGTGTAAAGTCTCGGGCAAAATAGTTGAGTCAGTTTATGACGCAAATACTCATTAACTGAGGTGGCCAAGCCTTGTGTTACGTGTACCCAGTCATCGTTTATCTCCTATGCCATGTGTTTCCTGAAGTCGGTCTAGTCTGGAGGAAGGTCAAAGGCAATCAAACTAAACCGTAGCATCAGTTCATGAAGCCTCTAATTGCTGGTCTGAGTCATGTAGGGAAATGTGTAGACTTCCAAGTTGGAGTTCACATGACAACTGAGATTGATGGTTGGAAACTAAGTACAATATCTCAGGGTTGACCTCAGTGGTGCAGATATCTCCACACCTTTTTATCCCATTCGTCATGTTACATCGTTTTCTTTTCTTTAATTCCTCTCCTGATGGCTTTTCATAACTTTTGATATCTTTGTCATTCATCTTGTTGCCTTGTATGTTGGTGCATTGATGTGAGTTATGTCAACTTGGACTGTTACGCAACAGTGCCAAGTCCCACGTTGATGTTGACTATCTGACTTCAGATCCTGCAGGAAGGAATCACTTAACTTATAACTACTCCAAGATGGAAACCTACTTCTCAGGGGTCGCATGTATGCATCTTTTGGAGACATACCATTCATACATGTGGAAATGGTTAGTTTGAATATATCTTTCGATTTCAATAAATGTCAACTGAAAGGCCATCATAAAACAAGAATATTAAACAGCTGTTTCATGTTTTAAATTTTCTAGGCAGAACGTACTTTCGACTTCATATAAAGTTGATTAACTATTCACAGTGCTTATGACTTGGTACCTTGCATGGAACCTAGGGAGTTGTCTAAATTTTCTTCTGTTTGTTTTCTGCCAACTCGTGACATCCATTTCCTGACAAAAATGTCTCCATCTCTAACATTTTTGAGTTATCTGTGTTTATCAGTCCTGTTCAACACATTCTAATACATTTTTTCTTGTTGAAATACGATTTTGACTGCACATTAGAAAAGGTATATTGTAATTTTGAGATACAGACCAGGCACAAGAGTAGAAGCTTTTAGTACTGTTTAATTTTCTATTCCAGTAAATGTGCGATTCTGTGTTCTCACTGTACAAGTGATCGTTTAACAAATGAATGTGTACACAGTTATTCAAAAGGTATAAAGAATCATAAGTTGTAAATATCTATATTAATGCAGTACTATTTGTCATATTATAAGCTATCTTTGGGGTTTAAATAGGCATCTAATCACCCTCTGCCTACTGACTATGCGTGTTAGTATAGCAGTTATAGTATCGCATTCACTAAGCAGGCAGTTAAAAATATTACAGTACTATGAACCCTTATGTGCATCCAGTGTCCATCATGTAACTGTCTTCTACTCGTGAATTCGATCACAAAAAGGTTAGTACTGTGAGTTTACGTCGAATATCAACTATCTACTTGCTCATAAATTTATTCAGTTCTCTATTCATTTCAGGATTTTGTCGAGATTTTTTCGATTTGTCTTACGGTTTGGAACATACAATATTATTTTTTCCAATTTTACGGAGAAATTGACGGTTTTATCTTTTCTCCCTAGTTATTTGAGTTCTGTTTTTGTAGAATAAACATTGTCTCGTCGTGTGGATTACTTGTTAAGAAATATAACGTATCAGGCTTCGTTTTGCATCAGACTATCGGTTTGGTAGCATTCAAAGTTTCTTATATTAATCTGTTGGGTAACTGGTTGTGTCTAGTCGTTTTCGAGATTTCCACGGTGGTGTGTATTAAACATGTTTGTGATGTAGTCTGTAATAAGAAGCCACTGCTTCACTTATTGTCTGTCCAAAAAGATGATAGTAGTTTCTTGGCCTAGATCATAAATGCATAATTGTTTCTGCATACTTGACCTAATTTTAGTTAGTAGATTGGATTTTCAGTCACTGCAAATATGAATGCGACGAAAAAATTTCTTAAATCTAAATACCAGAATCATAGAACTGAAAATATCGAGTGCCAAATATGAAATTTTTTCGAAAAAATGGAAGTAAATTCCATAATTACCTCTGATATGTGTATGAACATCTCAAACTATCGGGTTAACTCACACCACGTCTGTATGGTGTACTAAAAATCTGTAAATATTATATTCCTCTCCGCGCAATATTTCATACACTTACTTCATCCTGTTATTCAGCGGTGAAGTAGCTTGCTGAAATTCTCCAACCAGGAGGGTCGAATCTATGTGAGTGCAGTGTTGGGGACATCTAATTATGTCAGTTGTATTGAGATTTATGTTGCGGATGAGCGTGTAATGTCACTAGATGTCTCTACTTTATCTACGAATATACCACTAGTTAAAACTATATTTTATCCGTATTATTACATTGAAATTAATAGCTGAATTACTAGTGGCCTACTTTAAAAAGCTTTTCTTAGGGTTATACTGTTAACGTGCTATTAAGGTTTAACAGTGGAGTGTAAAATCAACCGGGTGGGGTCACTATGGGATCTCGTATAAATAATGTCTTAGCTGATGCTTTTATAGCTAGCCTTGATGATAATGGGCAACTGAAAGAAGTGGTCCCCAAACTTCATCGGTAAAGAAGATATATAGACCAAGCTTTTGTACTTTATGATAAAGACTGTTCATTCGACAAACTTCTTACCATGATTCAATGATTACCTTCTATCCACAAATGTCATAACAGAAGAAGAGTCGAATTCCAAATCTCACTTCCTAGATATGATTCTGTAAATAAGAAATGACGGTTGGCTGCAAGAATCCGTCTGTCCAAAACCCACCGTTGTAGAACATTTCACTAACCTCGACAGTTCGGTATCTCAAAGCAGGAAGAGGAACCTCACTTATTTGTTTTGTTCAGTATAATGAGGATTTGCTTAGAACAGACGATTGATGGGAAACTTAATGTTTGCAAACAATTTTATTAAGTAGTGGATATATTTGAAGATGGATTGACAAAAATTTGGAAGAGAAAATTATCCCATTTAATATTACAGTAAGAAAGAAGGTTTCCATCACTGATTTAGGGTTGAAGGATGATATATCTACCTAAATATTATAAAGTTGTCTATCGAAATGGATCAGCAAAAGTTGCTATTTCACTTGTTTGCGTTTGTTCTAAATCGAATTGTTGATGTGAAAACACGTGAAGTATAGTGTACTGTTGATACCCACCTTAATGTATATTGATCACAATCGCATACAGGTATCCGAGGAATAATAATGTGCTGTGTTTTTGAGCATTTAAAAACTTATTTCCAACCAGCGGAACGTTTTTCCTTTGTTTTGTTCTTAGCTTGAGGAAGGAAAATTTGAAAACATTTTAAAAATGTACGAGGCCACATGATACTTTCAGAAGACATTTAAAAGATTAAAACAAGCTGAAAGAGAGGAATTTGACGGAAAATAATCGGTGGAAAGTTTTTTTCTTTAGCCAAGATTTAGGAAGACCGCCTTAATTGAACTACTCTAAAGGGCTGCACTTTCACCATTTATGTATAACTGTACACCAACGAAAACCCATACTCTTCTTTTAAAAACGTTTTGTAAAACTTTTTTCTCTGCTTTGACCACATAACAAAGCCAGATGTGACTTCAGCGAGAAATACTTAATTTCAACTGTCTCTTCTTCTTCTCAACTGTACCCAACGTGGTTTACTAACAACCTTAAATCAAAAGGAAAAGGGGATTGGCGATAAAATTTCATTTAGAAAAAGTTTAACAAGAAGTATGTCTACAAAAGACAACTCAATAAACAGACAAACAAACAAATATTTAATCACAAGGTGGTGAACGTCAGATGCAACCGTGATTATTAAATATAATCTACACGGCCCTATTAATGTTACTTCAAGTGAATTTGATTCCATCTATAATTTCTACTATCATAACCCTCCTGAGTATTGCTATCACCATTTCAAAAGTTTTCAGTAGATATTGGCATATTTTCTACCTCTATGAAATCAATTTCTATCTTTACTGATCCTCCATATAATTTGTTCCCTTCAACAATTTCCCACTATCTATATTACATGGATAATTAGCTGAGCAATTTGTAATACCAACCCTTTTTTATATTTCATCCACTGGACAATCCTCCTGCCCAGAATCCCCTAAACATCATTACTACTTCGGTCATGTGCCTATTGACTGAGCATTGTTCCATTGCAGTTATCTGATTTTTTACTAATTATAAAACAAATACGATGGTACAACTTGATAATAAAGTCGTTAAGAAACTGTACCTTTTCTCTGAGAAAAAATCCATGTATTTTGATAAACAAATGACTAGTGATGGCAACTTCTGGTATCTCATCCTTTCTTATTATTGAAGAGTGGTTTCTATACATAGAATACCTGTACCGATTAAACTATGACCAATTGAAGTTTCCAAACAATCTACGTATATTTTACGCATAAGTTAGCAGATTATATGAGAAGCAACTAGTATTGTAGCATGAATTCTCGACTGTTAGTAATATTTTACTTTGCACTTTACTGTTGTCATGTGTCATAATGATTAATACATTTCTTTCGGTTTTATATACAATGGGTTCATAGCTTATGGGGTTGCATAGTACATGCATTATCATCTGTCGATCACAAACTATCCACCATTGGCGTAATGATGGCTACATTAATATATAATTCATGATTGGTTTCGGCTGGTCGTATGCTTCACTGTCCAACGAAAGCAAACTGTTTAGGTTATGAAATGTTCAATGTCCAAGTACACGCTAACTTCACTCTGCTTAGATCTCTCATCCATTTTATCATCAAACTATTCAGTATGAATTTCCTATATTTATTTCATTGATATTTTCTAATTGATTAAAGTATCAAATACAACAGTTTTTTAGATGTTTTGTTTTCACTACCATAAATCGACTGTTCTACTATAATTGCCCTGTGAGTGCCATGTTTCTGAAGTTTATGAATTCACTCAGATATGAAAATAACTTAATTAACTAGCTAGGCATTATTTAACTGACCAGATAAATAGGTATGAAGTCGGTTTTTACTTCAAACCAGTGGTTCACGAGTGTGTACAGGGCTCCACCTATTAAAGTTTCGGTAACCATATAGCATATAACAGCGATACTCAAACTATGATGATAAGTTTATGTTAGGTTTGTCTATTGAATGTAGCAAAGTGACAGACTACAAATCCAATCATTTTTCATTCCTAGACAATGTTGAAACCAAAAGTTAAATAGTTCGAAGCATAACATAAGTGTATCCATATTTGTATAAATCATAGTTTCTGGTAGTCTGAATCAACGTGCAGAATTAAAGTAATTGAAAAGCATATTATCTACATTATTAAGATTTGTTAGACTGTTAAAATTTCTTACTATCCAAACCCGTAGCATCCCCACGTAGAATACCTTTAAAAGCCACTTGATAGCCTCACAGTTAAACAGAACCAACGGCTACACAGTATAGCTTTCCTTTGATGGATAATCAGATTCTCACTGGCGACAGAAATAGCGGATTTGTTCACTTCTAGGGGAAAATCATGTTAGTAAACTAGCAAAGGATTCTTCTGTGCCACTTATCGTTGTGAATATCTTGTGTCATATTGAATCTACGATTTTGGCTAGCTCCTCAAGACCACATTTTTGACTTAGATATATATAGACGGTACATTTGTTATTATGAAAAGTTCATCCTTGAAGACTGGCGAAACTAAGAAATGCCTATTCTTTGGGGACTGAATTCACATGTGAACATAAAACTGATTAACTACCACTCCAGAGTGTTTACTTAGAAGAAATGTTAGTGGTAACCTTAGTTTGTCGATCTGTCGTAAAATATGTTTAAGTCGATACCTGGAATTCAACTTCGTGTTAAAGTTTCACTTCCCGTGAACTTATTCAGGAGGCCGATGAACCTCGTTCCAAATGAATACGGTTAACAACTGTAAAGAAAGAATTTGATGAATGCTTTACGCTGCAACAGTTATCATTCTCAGGATAAAAAAAAATCTTGAACACATATTCAAAAAACAAAGAATGATGCATCGTGAATCCTCAAAATGATTTTACCTTTCCATCAAGGTGAAGCTGAAGTGTTTCAAAGAATTTTACAAAAATACTTAATGATAGGTTTCTATAAGATAACTAAGACTTATGATTGCTCCAGTTCGCATGCAAGACAGAATATGTCTCTTAACTCTGTGGAGAACAGTTGAAAGGTTAGGCAGTGTCGCCTGCGATGTCCATCATTTGGTGCGTCATGCAGGTAAATCCTCACTCATGCCAAAGAGCATGCAAACTGTACGAAACGACTTCATATAAAGCATACAGAATTTTCAAGCGGAATTTGCAGAAACACTTCGCACCACTTTCAATAGACGCAAAATTGACATTGAAAACAATATAACTCAAAAAGGATTGGTAAATTATGAGCTGATGTATTTATTTTATTCTATTGATTAGAAATGTCACAGTGAAACAGTATCATCTACTGGATAGCGTTTACTGTGTGACATTGCTAATGAACAAACTAAAATGTTATTACAATCTACCACAGTGCCTAAGTTTTACTCCCATATTAATGGAGTATTTTGAATTATGCTAAATTCGAATGCACTTAGTAGCAAAACAGCCTAGGTATTCCATTGATTTGGAAAAGGAGTGACTAGTATCCCCCTCGGTTACTAATGAAATGCCTAGTTAGATTTCTGTATTTCACAAGGAGGCTACTTTCTATCTAAAATGCAGAAGCCTAATTAATCAGTTGAGCAATTACTAGGATAACATCTGAAGTCGCTCAAAAAGTGTCAGCCTTACCAATTATAATCTGGTCAGTTTAACTGTCTGAGGTAACTATGGTTTGGTAGACTCATATTCTCGGTACTTGGTGATGGATGGTGACATGAAAATCGGCCGTGGCAAGGTTCGGACTAGCGGTCTCCGCGTTACCGGCTCAGTACTCTGCCAACTGAACTACGGGACCCAGCTGCTAACCAGATTTTCACTTTATTCATTAAGCGTTTGACCCAACTGCCATTTGGATTCGTGGTGGGTACCACTAATACAAGTCTGCCAAACCTCAGATAGTTAAAATGATAATATGATTCTCCCCCTCTATAATTCGACTGGGATTGGGATGAAAAGTCTTGGCCGGGCAGCCAATGTGAATACGATAAGCGGACAGTGACGCATCACAAATCCACATGGCTGTCGGGCAAAAGCCTTGGTAGTTTAAGTGACATTAAGGTCTGATCACCTTGATTTCGTAGCTCAGTTGGTAGGGCACTGGTTCGAGTCCTACCGTGGCCCAGATTTTCATTTCACTTTCAATCATCATTCAGCATCGAAATACAAGTGTGCCAAATCATGTTTGTCTCAGATGGTCAAAGTACGTGTACACGCTCATGAACTGAATCTCACATTCATTTCACTTCTCACACGTACTAACTAGCACCCCCCCCTACAAAAATTCATGCAAACTTCACATCATCACCTTGAGCTTATTGATTCACAGGCCATGATGATAATATCTAGTTTTCTTTTGATTATAGATATGTAACAGGTAAAAAAAACATGAATGCAGTGACAAGATAAATACCAAATGTTATTTAAAAGTTGAAAATAACTACTAGGGGTGCTATTAATGCTGAAAGCTACCAACGTAAGAAGGTAAATGTTTATCAACGAAAGTAAAATATTGGGATGATGAGAAGTTAGAATTTGAACCATTAACTCTAGCTTTTGTCATCTTACATCGTAATTGTTCTGGTCAGATTGATTTTATTCAACAACTAACACTGGACTGATCATTATCCAAAATTTAAAAAGATTCAATTAATTTAATATCTACTTAACTATGAAACTCACTGTTTCAATGTTTGAACTACTTTGACCTGTATCTAATTCCAATACTGAAACTTAATAGACCCACCTGTGTCACTCAGTATGAGATGAGACTAACTTTTAAGACTACGCTAGCAGCGACTGAACTAGCCAATTATTTTTATTTATTATTTGTCCTTTGGGTTCCCAGTGGAACACAGGGCTTCAGTAGCACGTCAACATTTCACTCTCTTCTCTCCAATATTTTCAACCTGGCTCCATCACTCACCACAAGCTTTCACTTCTTCCTCACACCATCTCCTCCATGTCACCCTCACCTGGAAAGCCCAACTCATCGTTTCCTATGCGGGTCCCACTCGATGGCTTGTCCTGGCCTAGCCTGATACATGATGTCCCCGAATGGTATTCTCAGTGTATACCAATCCAATCCATCTCCACCTTCTTCAACTGCACGTTTGTTGAGCGATGGGTTCTTTGTTGGTTTGTTCGTTGCCAGCCAGCCAGAGTGAGTTCCTTGTTACTTGTTCTTATTATTCTGGCCATCTATCTGATCTTCAGCGTCAGTATCGAGTGAGCGTAGACGACAGCTGTTGATGTGATGTATGTCTGCAGTTTGTTGGAAATACTTTTCGTAACGCACCGGCAAGTCTCTCAACCATCATCATCACATAGAAGCACTGACTAAATTAGTGTTGAAAATCCGGAACTAGCCAATTAGGTTTCTTTAATTTTATTAGAAAGGGAGATTTTCATAAAATTAGGAAATTTAATTTGTTATTATGGTGGTCACTCAAAACAGAAAGTAACGTAAAGTATAAAATAGGAGATTGTGTGGATGAGTTTGACTCTAAAGATCACTCTAGCAGCAGCTGAAATAACCAATTAAACTTCCTTATTTTATGAAAATCTACCTGTCCAGCTGAAATGAAACTTGGTTATTTCAATCTTTACTAGGGTGGTCTTAATAATCACTCCTTAACGAAATTGATTTTAAATTCCACTCTAGCAAAAACTGCAATAACCAATAAGAATCCTCTATTTTATGAAAATTCGACTTTCCAGCCCAATTATTTAAACCTGATTGGTTATTTCAGTTGTTGCTGGGATTGTCTATAAAGTCACTAAGGTAACTGGACTTTTCATTTAAGGAGGATTAAACGAGCATTAAATAAGGTTGTTGTTAAGCTTATCAACGAATACAATATGAAATGCCTATCCCTTCCTAGAATAAAAACAATACCTGTGTTCGATATATCGCATTAGCTGCATAGAAGAATTCCCAATACAACAATTTTGAAAAATTCTATAAATGTGAACGCAAAAGAGAATTTACCTACTTCCAGGATGCAAAATCATTAGAAGGTTATGTAAATAAGCATGTAGAATATGATAGTCTAAATGTAAAAACAAATTCTTCTTATACTCACAATATGTCATTAATTTAAAATAATCAGAACGTATTAATCAAAATGTTATTGTAAACCATTAAGTTGAAACGAAAAGTGAAAGTTCTGAAGGTCGAGGGGTCATATGAAAATGCAGTGAAAACATTTGACAAAATCTTAGCACTTTGAAACATTTAAAAATACAAAAAATAAAAAGTAAACTTATTCTTCTCTGGAATCGGGGAGACGAAATGATGTCAGTTGGTGAAAGCCTTCGGAAAGCCAATTAGCCGATGTGTCTTCTCTTCTCTCGATGAAAGCAAAGTGGGGACATGGAATGTCCGCACCATGTTTGAACCTAGCAAGGCTGCCCAGATTGCAAAAGAGATGAGAAGATACGGCATAGAAGTGCTAGGCTAGGAATCTGCGAAAGCACATGAAATGGAAGTGAACTCTCCAAACTGTCAACTGGAGAATCAATAATCTACTCCGATATTGTCACCCAGATGACAACTACGAGCACACTGAGTTTTGGAGTGGATATAATGATGTCCCCAAGAGCGTCGAAGGCTCTCAGGCAGTGGGAACCAATCTCATCCAGGATCAAAACAGCAAGATTCACATCAGAAAGAAGGAAGGAAAGTTACAATCAAAC